TGGGACAAGTATGATCAATATTTGAACATTTGCCAATGCAGATAAACATGCCTGGACAAATTGTTATCATTCAGCAAATAAGAAGTCATGTATATTCCATGTATGATATATTGATATTAACACAAGCGATGACAGAGAGCGTAGTACCTGTATGAAAGCTTTTCATGCACGTATGCCAAGTATGGTGTTTTCATGTAGTGAATGATTTCTACGTGTGCTGACTGTAGAAAAGGATGGCTTGCATTGTTCGTGCGACTGTATTAACTTGTGGCTTTCGGTATCCATAGTAATTTATATCTAACGCATGAAATTAGACAGAGGAGCCAAATGGAAATGGCGGCAAATAATAAAACACAAGTACTATATAAATAACTTCTTTATAGACTTGTCATGTGGATGATGGTTTATGTCCATTTTCCACCAACGAATTATGAGCCTCGCGTGATTTTATATGACGGTCCGAGAAGAAAATTCGGCGTTTCAAAATAAGGGATGTGACACCAGCGTGCGCTAGATGAACACATCATTGGGTATTCTAAATTAAACATTTATTTTGAAATATACACAACGCAACACCCGTTTGCAACATGCCATAATATGAGGTTATTACGAGGATAGCTTAAAGTATGCATGAAGACAGTAAAGAGTATCGACCGACGCGCAGCGTCTCAGTGCATACTTTGAGGTATTCTCGTAATAACCTCATTATTATACATCTTTTCTTTCCAATGATATATCATGGGAATGCCGAAATCCAAAACAGTTTAGAACGGAATCAGCGAAGTGTTTTGTGTCGGGTCGGTCAAACCCTGGTGGCAGCCATGTTTGTTTTTATTTCCATATTTGGACGAAAATACTCCGTAAAATACCGCAAAATTATGGCACGCTGTAACTTATGGCGTTACGGTGACAAATGTATAATAATATTATTAATGTACATTTAATACAACTTTCCATCAAATTTTGAAATTTTTTTGAACATCGTCTATCATCGTTTTTTCAGCTTAGTAAAATATTATTTATTTTTCACTGTACCGTTACTATCAGTCTACTATTTTTTCTTTAATAACATTATAGTGAATACTTCATTTTCTGAGGCAAAACTATCGATATTTACAATTTATATGTCGACCATTTTTAAAAAGTCACGTTGTAGCCCGTACCGTACGGTTAAAGACGACTTGCTTGAATTGGTTCAATTGGTGTAATCGAAACGTGCCTGAAAAGGTGCATCTCATATGGAAATCTGTGTTTTGTGCTTCCAGCCTCAGCGCAAAGATGTGCTGCCGGATGGAAAACATTCCACCAAGGTTGTTATTATGTGAAGGAAGCAGATGCACCGAAGACATGGTACGAAGCAAGACAACTATGCGAAGACATTGGTGGACACTTAGCCAGCATACATAGCGCAGAACTCAACGTACGTATCCAGCAGATCGGTTAATACAGTCCGGACTAGATTGGCCTTGAGAGTGAGAGATCCAAAAGACTTATTTCCTCCCCGTCTCCGTTTTGGAGCAGGCTAAAACCAGCCGCGATTTTTTTTTTTTTTTTGTATTTGGCGAGGGCTCAGTGGCTATTTGCAAATAGTGTCTATTGTCAAGATTAGTTGCGAATTCCTTAGTTATTTGCGTGAGTGATTGTGACTGAAATATATGGTCAATCAATGCTCAGAGCCAGATAGTCTGGGTCCATTGCATATGAACACAGGAATAACAATAATAAATTTGAAGGGGGAAGCAAGGAAACACATTCTCGAAACATGCCATGGCTATCACATAACTTGAATTTCTTTTACAACTACGCAATGACACACAATAAAAATCTGTATTCGAAATAGAAATAAAACGCACGTCACAACTTGAAAATAGTTTTATAAAGAATATCCATACCTATATTTTTCTAGGAATTTCTAGCCGGGCTGCTCAACCGTAACGCCTGGATTGGTTTGCACGACATTGGTGTGGAGGATAAGTTTATGTGGGTAGATCAAACGCCACTGGAAAGCGGTGACTATGAGTGAGCAATAGTTTACTTTTCTTTATTTCTTATAGCATTAATTTTCTTATAGCATTGTTACGAATGTACCCACAGACTGTCACGTGAGAGTTACTGTTGACGTCTTCATTTCACATGACCGTGAAATATTCCCACCTGCGAAACGAAACGTTCGGTATTCGTAGTTCACTATGCAAGAGGAATAAAATAGGCATCCATAGGCAATCTGAATTTCTATACTTGTTTCTGTACGCTTGTTGCTTTGTGATATCTCTGATTTGAGAACCTTAATTTGGCGACTTGATGGCCATAAACGTTTTCAAACATAAACCTATCAAAATAAGCGCTACTTTTCGGTTTTAGCAAGAAAATTCTGACCTGGATATGTGGATGTGTTTATCGTATGACGTAGATTACTTGGTATGTCAATGGTTAAATACAAACTATAGTCGACAATACAGATTCAGTATGTTCTGATCAGTAACATATGGAATTTAATATTTATAGAAATGCTTTCCCGATCACTGCCACGTGTTGAAAGCGTCCCCCTTATTTATTTGTCACAATACTGATATATAACTAGTCTCTTGGATTCTTACAGAAATTGGGATGATAATCAGCCCGATGATTGGCCGGAAATCGGAGGGGAAGACTGCGTTGAAATTAGAAAATCAAATGGCAAATGGAATGACAAATCCTGCATTAATGAGACAACAATACTAGATTCCTACATTTGTGAATCTGTGATGAGTACGTATTGACCTTAGACGCAAATGGACGCCCAAGTCTCGTTGAGAGCGAGAGAACTACGAGACTTATTATTTTTTCCCTCAAATATTCTTCTACTCTCTCCTGGCATCATGCTTACTGTTCCCCTGGTCTATATAACCACGATATTTTGAAAATTGCCCGCAGTGACAAGGGGAAATGGAACATCATTTTATGGCAAAACAAGTCTTGTGAGTTTCTCGCCATCAACGAGATGTCGGCGGCCATTTGAGTCTACTTAAGATTTTTTGTAGATTCAACATGCAATATGGAGGAAAACATGTATCTTAAATATTGTTGATTGGTACTACATTTCGAGGAGCCGAGTGGATTATAATTATTCGTAAATTAAAATTGTTGCTTTTTCATCACACTGTATTCGCTCGATGACAAACACTATCGAATATGTAGTTAGTATACGTACCAAAAATTACAGTCTTATGCCAAAGTGAGTGTTCTCACTACTTTATATGTTTAATTTTAAGACGTACCAATTAAATGTGACGAGGACGATGATTGGATGTCCGTGAACGATAAGTGTTATAAGTATTACAGCGCCGCCGCGTCGATGGCAAGAACGTGGGATGAAGCGAAATCGTACTGTGAGGGCGTCAGTGCGAAACTCGTAAAAGTACATAATCAGATAATTCAGGACTACGTCACTGAGTTGTCGAAAATATCGGCATTATGGATCGGGCTATCTGATAAGGTGATGTGTATTTATGTACTGGTCCTCATAAATAGTAAAACTATGTTGACTACTTGATCGTACACCGATATTATCAAAGGAATTGGTGGAAAAAGTAATGGCACCACTATTATACAATACTATATACTAACATATGTAACAAAATCTACGGCTTCAACAAACTACTAAATCTAAAAAAACACTCGCAAATGATTGTATATTCCCCCCCCCACTTTATGTTGCATACATATTTGAATTTTCACTTATGATGTTTCTCTAGGAAAATGGTGAAAGCTATACGTGGGTCGATGGTTCAATGTTGAATTATGAAAACTGGGCCGAAGGAGAACCAATAGGCGGGTAAGAGCGCTATATGGTAGAATACATAAAATATATCACATATTTTGCGTATTTGTTGTTTTGTCTTTCATCTCCTTCGAAAGTTTAATACAGGAAGAGGAGTCGGTGAATACACTGTGTTCCGATAAAAATTGCCATGGTAACATTTCTCTATGATGTCATTGTTACTCTATTATGTTTGTGTATTTTATTTCAGAAATTCTGAAAATTGCGTCGAAGTGAAAACTTTCAACGACGGAAGATGGAGTACCACACAATGTACAATAACAAATGCATTTTTATGCGAAAAAAACGAAGGTATTTTTATTATTGTTTTTAAACATTCACCTATAAATAGCATGAAGTAAATGTCATAACTCTGGTCAAAGTTTATTATTAAAAAATAGAGAAAGTTCTTGCCAAATTTAGACTGTTTATTGTGACGTATGTTTGCTTGTAAATTGTTTTCTACAGTCATACGAGTATTGTTAATTACAGGGAAGTGCGCTCCGGGATGGTACATATTCAAAGGACAGTGTTACCAATTTAATACATATTTTCCATCCACGTGGCCAGACGCAGACCACACATGTGATGCACAAGGAGGGCACTTAATAAAAATTGACAAGTAAGTGCAATACATGGATATAACTTTAAAACGTGCACATGTGGTAATGTTCTTCACGCTCATGAGAGATGCAGTAGTGAGTATTGAGTATTCGTATAAAACGTAGTGCGTTACACTATGTTTGGCCACACCACATTGGCCATAAGCACAACACATATAATATAATAATGTGAGTTCTTATTAGTATTCGTATTACGTATCTGAATGAAGAAACAAAACACCAATCAGCAGCAATCGCGGTATACCAAAGCGTAATTATTTTTATTTTATTTAAATAAAATTCACAAAGATTCGTGGGTCACTGTACTGTGTTTCTCATTGTCTTCTTTTCGTTCAAAGTCAAGCCGAGCAGGATTATCTTGTCAGCCAGTTCGAACTTCTTCGCTCTGCGCATGTCCACAATATATGGATCGGTATTTCAGGTATGCACGAGTCTTATTCTTACTCAGGGTCAAAAATTACACGTACATCTACTCACGGACACGTCTGTAATTCGCTAAAACAAGGATATTACATTCGATAAATGTACAATAACCCAAGTTATTCCTTTACCCATATCAATGGGGGAAATATTCACTAAACAAATGAAAAATACAGTATCACTGAATGAAAACAATAAACACTCGCATATTGAGAGGGCGCAGCTCCATCTAATACATGTTTAGCTGAATCCCAGAAGAAAATTAGGAAGTTACCGATGTAATTTTTCAATTGTGTTCACAGATGAAGAACGCGATAATTACTTTATTTGGTCCGATGGAACGCCTGTTGTTTTTACAAAGTGGAACGATAATCAACCCGCGAACACAGAAGGACAAAGCGACTGTGGGACAATTTACACAGGTAAATTACACAGGCCGTTTTTGACATCGGGAGTAAAATAAAATAATAACAATGTCAGACATGTTATTATCAGTCTGATTTTGGATATAATTTACAAGGTAGTGTTATCTCTATTGATGTCTTCGTGAACACATTGGACTATGATTGTTTTTTGTAGCTAGTATGTATGCGTTGATAGTTTTCAATTTGCGTTCATGGTTATAAGTTGTCATTTGCGTTCGAATACAAATAATAAACATTAAGATGAAGATTTAGCAGCATAACATTAATGTGTACCTAAGTACACCAGTAATGTATATATCTGTGTACTTTGTTACATGTTTTACGATTACAATGTTTGTTCTGTGTTTCCAACAGCTGGCTATTCGGGACCCACAACGTGGCGGGAAGATGGGCGATGCGGCTCGAATTACCCTAATGCTGACGGTGACCCTGCGGAATGTGATCCTAACAACGGACATCCGTGTTGTTCTCCGTATGGGTGGTGTGGACAGACCGATGCCCATTGTACATGTCCATCATGTATAGACTATACAGAATTCTATGGTAGATATTTAGAATTGCCTATTTGATGTGATAGAAATACATTTATAACATGCGCCACGATTACGATTTTAGTTAAGTGAGACACGTCATGCAATCAGCAGCTCAATCTAGTGGGGATTATTTTCACTAGTATGTCATGCTTTAACTGTGTTGATATTGCCATAGTATATACAGCGTTTTTTTTTTTTTTTTTTTTACACACGTTGTATATATATTTTGAGTATATATATACTCCTTATATGTTTCATATAATTTCACTTTGATTTGCAATGTAACCGACTTCAAACACCTGTTCTAACTTGTTCGGATGAATATGAAAATGTTCGTGTTTCGACCTGGTATAGAGATACATGGAAGTCTAAATTGTCGGGTGATTTTATTTCATATTTGCAAAGTAATAATGCTCAGATTTTAAAAGGAGAATTTGAAGTGATGTTAGCTAATTTAAACATCAATGGGGAATATTTTTGACAATAATATTTTTGCTGCGACGCATATGAATGAAGTCATTTTAATTTCTGAAGTAGCACACACAATAAATAACCTACTGTGAACAAATCGCCGAGCTCCAACATATAGTGTTATATACTTTGCTGTCTATTGCATTGTAAAAAGTTTGTGTACCATAGGCTTGGGCCTGTAATGAAAATAATAAACTTGTACACTTTACAATATACCCATATCGAATGTGATTTTTAATTCCTACAACGCTGGCACCTGAATATACTGTTGTCAGCACAGTCAGCTAGCGGGGCTTTATATGCGTGAAAAAAAGATCACTTTTAAAGTGGACATAGCATCGACACCTGACTGGTGTTGCCAGAAACTAAACAAATATATGTATGTTTTTCTTTATTTCAGAACTTGGTGATTGGGACACGTACAACTGTTACGTTCTTCAAGCATTTGTATGTGAAATACAAGTAGGTGAGTGTATCTGCTTGGCACTGGTATATGTATTGTATATTAACATTTTCCGAAATTATACCAGCGATTTTTTATGAAAAGGATAGCGATGTACTGACGTTGTCATACTGTGATAACTCTGCAAACTATTTACGTGTAGCATGTTGTTTTATATAGGACGAGACCCAGTACCACTCGAGCCAGGTGTTGGAATTGGACACTGTGATCCGGGGTGGAATCTCCATGGCGATTATTGTTATCTGCTGGAGACGAATCAGCTCGCTTTCCATGACGCCGAGGACGCATGCGTCGAGTTGGATGCAATGCTGACAAGTATAGTGGATGGCCAGGAACAAAGTTTTCTCAGTGGTGAATTTGTGTTTTCTTAGTAACCAAATTAAACATAATAATTTTACGATTTTCGCAAACGGTTTGACTCTTGGTTTACGCGTAAAATGTATTCATTAATACCAACGATATAGTGCAGTTTTTCATTTCTCTGATTTTTATTTATTCATTCGTAGGTCGAATTGACAACTATCGCACAGCTATGTGGATTGGTTTACACGATAGAAATGGTGAACTGGATTGGGAATGGTTAGATGGGGAACCGGTAATTATTAAGCTGTGTACCAAATATTTGTAAACACCACACTTTACTTGCAGTTACACTATAGTATATGAACACTAACCAAGGATGAATGTTTGAGACGATAAGAGATTTTCGAAAACAAATAACACGTACAGAAAATGTGTAAAACAAAACTGCTCATACACAGTGCATTAATGTTACTCACCAATGTTTGCATAGTGTTTTATGCAAGGTTAAAACAACGTTATTTGTCAAGTCAACTCACTGGAGCAGTATCGAAACTATTTAAAAACAAACTAATCTAAATAATCTTTAATATAATTCTATATATTGTATTTGTCTTTTATAGTACAGTTTTACAAACTGGGACACCAATGAACCGAACGACGCTGGGACCGGGGAAGACTGTGTGCATATGGTGCACGATGAAACGAACGTTGGACAGTGGAACGATAGACCATGTGATCAAACACTGGGTTATGTCTGCAAGAAACAAAAATGTGAGTTGCCTAATTTACGTAATGCCAATATTCTTATCTCTATGATCCCATTGTCTAATAATAATTTATTTACTTCTATTGCTAATGACATCTTTCTCCAACAAATAAATTTCTAAAAGAATTATTACATGGTTTGACAGGACAGTCCAAGTTAGTGGTCCGCGTACAGCAAATGTCCTATCACCACGTGGTATTAAACGCGTAATTAAAAAATATATATATTAGAACATTCAGATGCTATCTTAACACAGTTTCCTTTGGAAATTGTTTCAAAAATGTATCATTCTAGACAGTTTCATTCCAATGTTTCGTGAGGAAAAAAGCGAAAACATGTGACATTCGTTCAAATCAATAATTATGTGAAACCTTTTGAAACAAAATTTATGATAATTTGTTCAACCGTTTTTTAAGTCAAATACCTTAACATTTTCAGATGGGATCTTTGATCCTTGATCGAAACACTCGTATCTACTCGTTAAATATGATCTGAACCAAGCAAAGACCCTCTCTCTGAAATACTCAAATATTGGACTGGCTGTCTCATTTCCAATTACTATAAAACTTAATGGTGTTTATTAAAAAGTAATTTATAGCATGATGTATTATTTTACAGACGGTGGTGGCATAGTAACAGTAGCCCCGAGACCAACGCGTAAGTTGAAGTTTCAATTGTTTTGATCTTACTTATTAAATAAAGTGTGGATCATAAACAGTAATATAGGCGACGCCATGATAATAAAACATCGACATCTAATAAGGGTTTATCGATACAGTACGATACGCAATGTTGTTGCTAAAATTCCATATTACATTTTAAACGCGTTTTCACTAGGTTGTTGCCACAATACAGATAAAATGACCGAAATTTCTTTCCAATGTTATCTTCATTACTTTGTAGCGATTTTTAATCCACGGTGTGGGAGTGGTTATGAATACAACCCTGACACGGCAACTTGCTACAAGTTCGTTCCTGATTGGGTGGAAGCGGTAACCCAACATGACGCTGAAGATATTTGCAACAAAGGTGGTGGTCATTTAATAAGCATTGAAAATAGCGAAGAGCAGACGTTTATAGATGGTAGGTAAAAACTAAAGAATCGAATATGCGTGTAAACAACACGAGTATGAGTGAGTTAAATCTACATTTTTAAAACAGCATAGCAACTTCAAAATTAAACCACTAAATTATTTCACAATATAATTTAGTGGCAAGCAACGGTAATGCTCAACAGTCGCTATTGACAACACATACATATTATTAAATAAATCATATCCAAAACCAAATATACAAGTGTATTTTACGTAAAATAAAAGCAAGTGACAGCAAAGCAGTGGTTAATTTGTGTGGGTGAAAAGTTGTTAGCTGAACTATATTGTTTGAGGCATTATGTATCATGGTTTGTCTTGGTGAGATTGATGTACAGATACAGTATAACGCATTATACATAGTTTGTATCTTACTTGCCTTTAATTAGAAAGACATTGACTATTTTCGGAGGGTATGTGAGGAATTGAATTAACATTTTACAAATACAAGTTTAAAACAAACCTAACAAACTAGATCAATATTTGCAACTAATTGCCTTTTTTTATTTTTTGTTTTGTTTTATAGAGTAAATCTGGCACAGCGCCCTAGCCAATGCATGTATGTAAAATCGTAATCCCATAGCCTTGTGTTTTATTACAGCTCGTCTTTACGGATTGAACGTACATGTTCTTTGGATTGGTGCCCACGATTTGGGTACTGAGGGTGGATGGGAATGGACTGACGGAAAGCCATTTTCATATCTTAACTGGGGAGAAAGTATGCCATTTTTACGTTTTATATCATTATACTTGATCTAAGTCATATTAAACTCTATCACTCGGAAAATATTGTTGTATCGTGCGTCGTGATTACAATCATGTTTCGACTGTCATCCCTGCGTGTACCTTCAACTGTACCGTAAACAAATGACAACGAAACAATGAAGAACTATTCTTTTTTATGTTTTTATTTTTCTTCGCCAGACGAACCAAATAATGCAGGGGAAGGTGAAGACTGCACTGAGTTAATCGTAGGCATGAAAAACTGGAATGACATGTCTTGTGATCAAGAGATCGGATATATATGCAAAAATAAAGGTAACAGAGAATAAAATACAATTTATTTGTGTTAAATAGATTGTATACTCAAGATCTAAATATCAACTCTTACATGTCCATTTGGATAATCAATATATTACAGGTCCATTGGTAGACTATTTCAACGTCTATCATAACGCTGCGTTAGATGGCTACGATACAAAGATTATTGAGGGCCCAGTCTATCCACAGGATTGTGCAACTCTATGTCTGGAAGAATTGACCTTCACTTGTAATTCATTCGACTA